TTCTGGGAATTCAGCTCAGCTTCATGTGGAGTGTGAGACACTGTATGCCCATCACCTTTGTGCTGCGGCCTCGTTGGGGCCTGCCAAAAGGGGTAGTCCGGGAAGACCGCAGCTTCTGTTCAGACCAGAGAGCCAGACTCTGACTCGGAGCTCACTTAGGCTTGACTTCTCTTCCCCTCCAGTTGAAAAGTAGGTTTTCAGAACACAATTCTGTTCACTTAACACTGTTGCTCGCAAAGTATTTTCCCTATCAGAATCCTCAGCTCACACAGTAGTTATGGTGTTTTTCAAGCCCTTTGAAACCTTTCTTGCAGTATAGGCAGCAAGTATTAGGGAAGGCAGTTGTAGAGGCAGAATACCTGGAAAAGCTGCCACTACTTTGTACCAGAGGGACCTTGGGGTGGCGGGTTCTAAACTCTTTAATGATACTTACAAGTTATCTATGAAATGATTCCTAATAGTCACCTGTCCTACCTGTGTACCCAAGGAAATGTGAAAAAGTCTTAAATAGGTGCCATTAGTAGGCAGTGAGTAGGTTAGAGGTGTCTTCCCCCCCAGTATTGTTTATTACACTGTTTTACACTTAATTCATAGCAAATACACTGTTGAACGATCACAAATTGCAAATTAGTTACCTACAGAATTGCAAGATTTTATCAATTACAAAAGCTTTTCGAATGAGAATTGATTGTTCACTGGTTGTAAAGGCGTGTCTGGTTTCGGAATCCCTTTCTGTCGCAACAGTCTTTGATCTTGGGTCTAATCCTAAAGTGTCAATGCTGGTGGTTAAGAGCGCGGGTTTTGCACTCCAGCTCACTTCAGCTGTGGGATTTGGGACAAATTAGCTTTCCTAAGACTGTTTTCTCATACGATAAAGACGATAATGCCATGTGGTAAGAGGATCAAATGAGATAGTACATCTGAAGGTCTCTGTATAAGTGTCTTGTACGTAGAAAGCATGCAGTACACGTGCTTATGTTTTATGTTTGGCACGTAGTTTGGAGTGTTCAGCGCTCACTTGTCTGGTGAACCAAGAAAGGGGTCTGAGTAGAGGTCGCTTCTATTAATTTGCTTATGAAAATACCTTCTTGCCTGAATTCGTCTTCTTCCATTACAGATTCAGTTTAAGGAGAAAGTGCTGTGGACCGCAATCACCCTCTTTATCTTCTTAGTATGCTGCCAGGTAAGCACAGCTCACGTCCCAGAATTGGAGTGGGGATGAGAGCAGGCTGGGGCTAAGTGTGCTGACTCCTTCTCTCCACTTGTTTCCAGATTCCCCTGTTCGGAATCATGTCTTCAGATTCAGCTGACCCTTTCTATTGGATGAGAGTGATTCTGGCCTCTAACAGAGGTAGGACCCTGGCCACCTGCACTTCCCTGCAGTGTAGACCTGCCTGGCCTCCCTCAGTTAAATGACAGGCTTTGGCTTTATGCGGAATTCAGAGGGCGTTGGGGAAGAATGTTGGCGTGCTGTGCTGAATAGCCTTAGCAAATGCCAAATTCCACACCGAGGCCTAATGTCACATTCGGAATTGTATTTGAATGCAACACAAAACCTGTACTAACAAGATTAGTTTAGGTCGTAGAGGATAAAAAAGCATGGAAGAACTAGAATGTGTTTTAAACAGCTGAAATGGCGACATTTGTACCAGTCTTTCTCCTGTTTTGATAACATTCTTTGGAATATGTCATTTATTTCCCTGCAACATTTTTTTTCGTATGTATAGGTTACATGTATGTGTCAAAGAAAATACGTAACGGTGTTTTGTGTACTTGAACCCATTACCTATGGGGGGAGGATTTTGAACACTTATGTTGATACAGCTTTTGATTAATTCATTTTTTAAATACAGTTCAAATTAAGTTCAAATTCCTTGGAAGTGTAGCTCATTTTAGCATAATGGAAGTAGACGTTTATTCCCATCTAGATACAGTGGTACAGACCTTCTTTCCAAACTCTGGAAATTATTTGAATGTTATCCTGTTTTTATTAACTGATGAAGAGACGAACCTTTCTTATCTCTGTAAAGCCAGAATGAATCTGTTTATGGTGAATTCAAATGCATTCATCTGTTTAAATGCCACGTGACTTCCTAAACAGAATAAGATGTTGCCTGACAGACTGAATGGAACGAATTGAATCACACTCTCATCATTGATATTGGGGGATTATTCTCGAAATTAACTGCCGCTAGCAAACTGAAACACATTGTATACGGTGTTCACAGTCGAATTTTGTTCATTCAGTTATTAATAATTGGTTGCTTTTCCAAGCTCATACTGGCTGTGTTTTGCCTCCCCCTTCCTTCAAGGCACATTGATGGAGCTGGGTATCTCTCCCATTGTCACCTCCGGCCTCATCATGCAGCTCTTGGCTGGTGCCAAAATAATTGAAGTCGGTGACACCCCAAAAGACCGAGCTCTCTTCAATGGAGCCCAAAAGTGTAAGTGAGATTTTGAGTAACGTTCAGATGTCTGTAGTTGGGAATTCAAATTTTCTGTAAACAGGTTTACAAAAAAGAAACCAGGTAATTTTGTACGAGGTAACCTCCTCGGCCCACCACCTTGTTAGGCTTTGTTAGTGAGAGAGAGCACTTGGATGGGTGGGATGAGGCAGGGGAGAGCAATGTCACAGGCCCCAGACACCATGTGATCAAGTGGAAGGAGTGGGGCTTGGAGGTCTCACTCTTCCTTACCACTTAACCACTTCGAAGGAGATACTTCAGAGCTGTTGTAAGAATTCAGTTGAACAGTGTGTGTAAAACCTCTCTCAGTGCCTGGCACACAGTAGTTATTCTACAAGCGTTGTTTTCCTTCTTCTGGGAGTTTGAAAGGATTGAACTTAGGGGAAAAGGATCCTCTCAGTCCAACTCTGCTATTTCCTAGCTCTGTGGCCTCGCACAAAGTTAGGTGACAGCTCTGAAGTCTCAGTTTTTTCATCTGTAAAAGTAAGCAGAATATTGGTATTTACTTTATGGCAAATAACGTGTTACTAGTAACAGTGAGTGGGCCTCAGAATTAACCACATTCAGCCTCTGAAGTGGAATGTGTTAACTAGGAAACGACGTTTACGGTTTCCTCTGCAGCCGTGTTTTCTTCCACACCAGCATGTTTTACAGATCTTAAGTTAGGAGGTTAAGTGACTGAACAAGAAAGACTAAGCCAATTCAGACATGTCAGTTTCAGACACAAATCAGGATTGAAAAGGATATACGTAAATATTTTTCAAAAGTACAAACCAGCTGTTTTCTCTTCAGTCTTGGACAATTTTTTGAAATTTTTCTGTCTTAAGACTTCAGTTTTATTAGGCACTTTTAAAAAAGTCCAATGGAAACTATATCTGATAGGTACTTTGAAATAAAATTGTCTTTTATGTGCAAACTAAGCAGAAGAGGGAAATTGAGTCCCAAACCCATTTGGTTTCGTGGAACCAATAAAAACGAATGGATTCCACTGTGCCTAACAATGGAGTGTCATGAGGTACAAGAAACAAACACGTCTGCATGCAAAAAGAAAAGTGTCTTAGGCCAGAAGACCTTTGTGGCAGAGGAAACCCGGTAACTAAATTGATGGCACTGTGAAGTTTTTCCTTAAAAAACACATGACCTACAAACTGGGAAGGGGTCACTTTATCCCAGAGTTAATAATATTCAGTGTTTTGGACTCAGACCCAGATGAGCCTGGAGAGGGCCCGGGCATGGACTTCAGTTAAGGAGCTCTCCCAAGCCCCAGCGACCTACCCTGAGTTCAGATGCTTCAGGTCAGCACCATCACCAAATCAGGTGTCTCTGGATGTCATCTCCTCTGATTCCCCGACACCTTTTTATCAAGAACTAGATTTGTCACGTTTCAACTTTTTCTCCTGCCATCACTGAAAGGAAAGTGAATTTAGGAGAAGCTGAAATTGACGAGCCTGCGTGCTTTTGTTAGAAGGCATTTGAATTACCTTGTGCTTTGGCCATGGGGCTGTTGAGTGTTTCCTGGACCAATCTCCTTGCAGGCAGTATCCATATTCTTCCTCTCCACCTTCGTCTTCCGCTGTGCCTGGCACACAGATGGTGTTTAGTAACTGTTCTCTCCTGGACCATGCAATGTCACTTTGAACACCGTTTTCTTTTCATTTCCAGTATTCGGCATGATCATTACTATCGGCCAGTCCATCGTGTATGTGATGACAGGAATGTACGGAGACCCTTCTGAGATGGGTGCTGGAATCTGCCTGTTAATCACCATCCAGGTAATTGCTACTCTGACATATGCCCCCTTTTGAGTAGTCCCTCACACGCACTTAGACTTCCCACATGACAAATCTGAGGCATGCCTAAAATAAGCAGGAGAGGAAGCCGGAGCCCCTGTGTTGGCCTTTCTGAGTTCACCAGAGGAAGGCTGTACTCTCCGAGGCCTACTCTGCCTTTAGCATTTATATCGGGGAAGGCCGTTACTGCAGAAGGAGAGAACTATGCCCATGAAGAACAGAAGTGCGTAGTCTGTTTGGGTTTTTAATTTTTTTTTTCTTTTTTTAATTTTCACAGCTCTTCGTCGCTGGCTTAATTGTCTTACTTTTGGATGAACTTCTGCAAAAAGGGTACGGCCTGGGCTCTGGGATTTCCCTCTTCATTGCCACTAACATCTGCGAGACCATTGTGTGGAAGGCGTTCAGCCCCACCACTGTGAACACCGGCCGAGGTAAGGGCCCTGGCCTTCTCTGGGGATGGGGTTCAGTAAAAAGTACCAATGTGCTCAAAGCAGGAAACAGTAGTCCCCCCCCCCCCCTTCCAAGGAAAAATTTTCGGTTTTAGGTACATCTCTTCTGATTTTTCTCTGTGGATCTGCAGAGTTGTTTTCGTTGGTTTGGTTTGCTTTGGTTTGGTCTAGAGTAACTTCTATCTGTAGAAATTTTTAAACACAGATAGGTTTGTGCTCATAAACATACGTAATTTGCCTTTTTCATGTGAGCGTTTCATGGACATTTGCCATGCTGGAATAAATAGCTCTGGCTCATTTTCCTTAACACAGTATGGACTTCTGTTGCGAAGCTAAAGCAACACTTGTCATAACCAGTTTTTTTCTGATGGACACTGAGGTTGTTTCCAGTTCCACTGTTGTTACAGCACATCCACACACATTCATCTTGACGTATTTTGGTAGTTGCTCACAGAAAATATGTTTTTAAAAATGAAATTACTGCACTTGGTCATGCAAAGGGCAGTTTTGTGAGAAAGGTCTGAACTTGGAGCTCACCGGGGTTTAAATCCTGGCTGTTGCTGGTAGTAGTAAGTGGCCATGGGTGCCAAGATTAAGTGAGAAATAACATGAACTCAGTGATATGTGGCTCAAAGTAGGTGCATACCGCATGTAGGTGTTCCATGTTATACCTATAAGGAAGGGAAATCTTGTTATAGGCAGTGTTTTTAACAAAACTTTCTAAACATTTAGGGAAGTATGACTTATTAGAAAAGGAAAATCAAGTTTTTTTCATCACTAAATATGCTCTTCACTCGGAAGAGTCCCATGAGAAGTCAATATTCATGCATATTTGAGTATTTTTCTTTGAACTGACTGCTGGAAGCAGTCCCTGGCCTCCAGAGACCACATGGTCTCATTTGTGAGACTGAAAGTAGGTCCCTGGACAAATGAGGGCCACTTGCATCCCATAGATTACAAGGAAAAGAGTGTAACTGGACATAGGAAATGTCAGAAGGGCCTCAGGAGTGGACAGGAGCAGACTTGATTCCTCCCTGGGCACTTCCCGGAATTTTAGGAAATTCAGGGCAGATTAGGAGAAGCTGGAAGGTGGGAAGGAGGTCAGGGTTTTTCAGGAATGGGTGTGAAAAGGCAGGACGGTGAAGGGATAGTAGAAGCCACCAGCCAGGGCTTTCGGGCCACTGTGCCACCCTCTATTCAGGAGCAGGCCATGAGGCACTGAGAGTTGGGGTGTGGAAGGAATGATTCACCCTGGACTGGGGGAGATGGGCAGAGAGCAAAGCCAGGGAGCTAATTAGTCCTTCAGCTTTGATGAGCCAACCTGTCGTAGAAAACATTGAGCGAGGGCACGAGGAGAACAGCGTGTAAGAGGTGGGACAATGGAGGTTCTTTCGAGGGTGATGGAAAATTGTGAAGCAAAGTCAGGTTTGTTTCTGGTTTTAAAATTGTCATGCTGTCAGCTGGTAGTTTTGGGACCGAGCTGGAGAGACGATGCAGCCAGGAAGGGTCACTCCACAGCCACGTGTGTGGGCGGTGAGTGTCACCGTGGGAGCCATGGGGTGAAGGGAACAGGAGAGGGGGTTCGTGAGGACTGGACCCTGGAGGAGGGCACAGGTCACAGAGGTCACAGGACTGAGAAGGCAGCACGGCAGCACATCTGAAACTCTGTTGGGCACATGGAAATAGGTTACTTACTGTGACCCTCTCAGGTCTGGGAGAATAGCCATTCCGTGGGCAAGTGGGGACAGCACAAATGGGATTAGCAGGGACCATGCAGGTACAAAACTGCCTGTGCCCTCGAAGTGACACTTCACCCTTGGAAACCCGGTCTTGTTCCCAGAGATTCAGCAGGTAACGAATTTTGAGAAATGATTGTATTAAAAATTAGGAGAACTACAGCTTAACCCTGGCATCACCCTTCACTGAAAAAGTATTGGCCAGGCATCTATTAAGGACCAGGCGCTGTTCTAGGCACTGGGAATATGAAGTGAGCCGAGTACTGTGTAGGTTAGGGGTTGGGACAGGTACCTTGGGGAAAAACAAGGCAGAGGAAAAAGATGGAAATGCCAGCAGGGTTGTCGCAGGGTTAGTCTAGGTGATCAAGAAGATTCCCCCACCCCCACCATGTCCATCCTCCCCACCCTCCGTTGGAACAAAGTCCTTTAGAGGGGAGGGAGCCCCGTGACTGTGGGGGAAGAATGTCCCACGTGGAGGGAACGAGCAGGTGGGAATGTAGCCGGTGTTCCAGGTCAGCTGGCGCAGAATGAAGAAGGGGGAGAGGAGTCAGAGTTGAGATCAGAGGTGTGGGGGTGGGGCAGTATTGACAGAGGGCAGAGGGTGTTCCCCTTTCCTGGGCAGCTGGAGTGTCCTCTGTGAAGTACGCGCTTGTCCTGGCTCCAGCTTTAAGATCCCTGAACTCTGTGCCCTAGGAAGATGGGCCAGTCACATGACTGAGGACGGCATCATAGGGTGAGGGGAGGAATTCCTGACAGTTGGGAACAAGTGTTGCTTCCATAGAAGCTACATCCAGAAGGTCAGTGGTGATGCCCATTAGATGGTTGACCTAAAGTGTCGTCTCAGAACAGTCCAGGAGAAGCCAGAGGGAGACGCGACGTGTGGCACCAGTCACCACGCGTCAGAAACTTGAGCAAACGCTGTCGCAGCACAGGACCAAGGCGCACCACATGCCACTGTTCCCAGTACCCGCTACCGGTCCTCGGAGACCGTGGCCTGGATGTGGCACTAGCTTTGTGCATGAGTGCCAGACGTCTGTCACAGGATAGTTAGACTGTCCTGGGTCAGCAGTGGTCAGTCACAGTAATGCAATGCTCCCGTTTCTGGCGTTAGCTTTTGTGTGTTCAGTTTATGTAAATTTCCTGAAAACGTATACACCCCTAGGCCTTGCTGCTGCCCTGTGCACCCAGGCCCTCTCACTTGCCCCTGTGCTGCCTGCTCCTCAGGTCAGGTGCCCACGCTTGCTCCTTTTCCTTCGGTGTCTGGGTAAGCTCAGTCTGCCTCGGGGCCTTGGTTTCTTGGCCCTGTGACCGGGTGCCTCCTTCCACACCCTCTCAGGGTAAGGCGTGAACTCGGATTTGGATCCGCCATGTGGTAGGCACACGTGTGGTCCTTTCCGCTCAGCTGTCCATGTAGGGAGCAGAGTCCGAGCCCCGCCTTGTCAGGGCCAGCCTGCTCCTCGTGCTGCCAGCGTCTCCAGGAGGAGGATCTGACAGCTGGGAGGCCACTCTGCAGTGGAGACCCCTTCAGCGGGAGTTCAGCAGACCCTGCCGGTGTGATTTCGTAATCAATCATCATGCCAGGCATCTGGCAGCCATTGACTCCTATATGTCAAAGACTTGAGATCAGTTAAGTCAAAAGGTAGAATGGCCCATTTCTGCAGGTTACAGGATGAGAGAGGTGTGAGAGAACTCTCTCCCTGTGGTTATAGGAGCAGGCACTGCGAATGGTAGGGCTTACTCTTTTTGGCTACCAAGATCCTTAGAGCCAAATTGAGTTGGTGGTTTGTTTCTTTACCACATGCGTCCTCTCCTTCGCCAACAGGAATGGAATTCGAAGGTGCCATCATCGCACTGTTCCATCTGCTGGCCACACGCACTGACAAGGTCCGAGCCCTTCGAGAGGCCTTCTACCGCCAGAATCTCCCCAACCTCATGAACCTGATCGCCACCATCTTCGTCTTTGCAGTGGTGATCTATTTCCAGGTGCGTCCAGATCCGGCCACGGCGAGTTTTGATGGACTGCATTTAAGTTTCAGAGCGCCTTGGTGTGCGTGTCCCCCATCCACGCCCCGGGGTGGCGCACATCCCATTGCGTCGCACTGAAATGAGATGGCGTTTGAAGGGCACGCATTCCATGTGAGCGGCACAGGTTCCTCCCACTGAGTCAGAACTTGACTGCGCTAAACACAGTTTAGGCAGAACGCTCCTGAAACCGTGTTCCCTTGGGTCGGGCCTGTCAGCAGACAGAGAAGATCTATCTTTAAGTTCTTAGTTCACGGGAAATGAGAAGTAACCAAGCTCTAAAACCTCGTCTGTGTGTTACCCAAAGGTTGTGTAGTAATTGCAGGCAGTAGCCTCATCTCGGAAAAGGCCTTCCTCTTACCTTCCAAATTATCAGTCTGTGTCACACGCGTCTGCACGAGGGACTTGAACTGCTGGGGGTCAGATTAATCTTTTTATTTTTTGATTGGCTGCTTTGTATTCTGGTATTTATTGATAAGGAGGGACAACAGTTGAGGAAGCAGTCGAAAGGGTATTTAAACCAGGCAAATGCTTTTTCTGAGGGCTTAACAGTTCTGGTCCTTCAGCTGAGACTTAGAAGCCTCGTTACTAACAAGTGGACTTACTGGGGGCTTGGCAACTACTTGCACTTGGAGCGTGAACATTTTATTTGAAATCGTATGTATTCTGAGCCCTGTTCTAGGCACTGGGAGTTTGTGAAAACAATAGAAAAGAAACCCTTTCTCTTCTCAGGGGTTTCAGAGGGAGAGGCTGAATTCCTAGGAGAGCTTAGCTTTTCTGTTTATGATCAGAAATGTCCTAAAAGGCTGTTGTGGAGAGTGAGGCAGAGGCCGTGGTGGCCACAGAAAGCACAGGCGAGGGAGGCGCCCCTGGGACTCAGGCGCACGTCTCTCTGGATTCTCTCTGAATCCTGCAGAGAGGTGAATGTGACGTGCTGGACTTTGGTTTTTGACAAAAGTGGGATTATTTCAGTCTGCTGGGGTTTGGTGCGTGTTTACGCCAGTGTTTCTAGGAACCTTCTGTTCAGGTGCCCCCAGGTGGGGAGGCGGGTAAGGCAGGGCCACAAGAGCCCCGGAACCCATGCTCCGGGCCGGCTCTCTCGAGGCTGTCCCCGGTTGCGCCATGCCGGGCCGTCCTGGGCAACCGGCCGGATGAGGCTCTGAGGGCCATTTCGCTCTGTTTGGCTCTTCAGGGCTTCCGCGTGGACCTGCCCATCAAGTCGGCCCGGTACCGAGGCCAGTACAACACGTACCCTATCAAGCTCTTCTACACCTCCAACATCCCCATCATCCTGCAGTCCGCCCTGGTGTCCAACCTGTACGTCATCTCCCAGATGCTGTCCGCCCGCTTCAGTGGCAACCTGCTGGTCAGCCTCCTCGGCACTTGGTCTGTAAGTACAGCTGCTCGAAGCAGTCTGTGTCAGTGCTGTGGCAAGTGGCAGTGTGTGCGTCCGTGCGTCTTGCTCTTGATCAAATATGTCACCCAGAGGTTTTTCCTAATCGTGCCTTTTACAAATTCAGCGCGTTAAATTTTCTTGTCCGTGCGTGAACCGCACTGCGGGCACTTGAGCAAAACTGCCTTCCGTCTGCTCGGAACTATTTGTGTCTTGATGCTAAGGTATGACAAGGTGGCACCCATAGGTTTTCCGCGTATTCTTTCCAGGATACTTCTTCCGGGGGTCCCGCACGTGCTTATCCGGTTGGTGGCCTGTGCTATTACCTGTCCCCTCCAGAGTCTTTCGGCTCCGTGCTAGAAGACCCCGTCCATGCCGTGGTGTACATAGTGTTCATGCTCGGTTCTTGTGCGTTCTTCTCCAAAACTTGGATTGAGGTCTCGGGCTCTTCCGCCAAAGATGTGAGTAGAAGTTACAGTAGGGTGCTGGACAAGCGGTTAAATGGGGAAGCAGTGGCCGTCACCCCTTAGTGGCATACAGAGTATCCACTCCTCATGTCTTCCTGAGAGAGCGGTCTGTGAATGCCCGCACACCCCTCGTCCTATTGCGGGACAATTGTGAAGCGTTGATAGCCAGAGATAAAGCCCAAAAGTAAATGAGCACTTGGTTTGGGAAGCTGGAGCCAAACTGTGGGATTCGCCTTTGCAGCAGGTGTCAGGGTTACCCGTGTGAGCGCTGAGGGGGGTGGAAGCGGAAAGCGGTGAGGGCCGAGTGCCGCCAGGAGACCGCTGCCTTCCCTTCAATTTCAAGTTTAGAGTTTAACGTTGTCTCTTTGGTGGGCGTCACGCAGGTTGCAAAGCAGCTAAAGGAACAGCAGATGGTGATGAGGGGCCACCGAGAGACTTCCATGGTCCATGAGCTCAATCGGTGAGTGCTGGCCCCAGGTCCCCAGACTCTGTGTTTGTGGTTTCCTTACACACTCAGCATCCTGATCGGGCTTAGGGACTTCGGGTTTATTAACTCTTACCCTTGGGTAACGGGATAGGAAAGACCCCTGCATCTGTAACTGTGAGCTTGCCAGCTGCTGGAGACCGGAAATAGAAAAAGTAAGTGCGTGTAGCCCCTCTCCTCGGAGAAGGAGCCACCAGGGAGCAAGGCAGCGGCACACAGCCCCACCGTCACAGGATGATGAGCTGGCCACTGGGGCACGGGGACCCCGCTTATGATCTGAGTGCAGATGAGGGCCAAGGTGGAGGTGAGGCTAACAAGGCCGCACAGGGAAGGGGCAGCACCCCGGGTCCCTTCAGGAAGCTCAGCGCTGGAGGCAGACCCACCAGAGGGAGGTGAGGCTGACTGAGAGGCCGCTGTGGGAGTTTGGGTGAGCGTGGCGGCATGGGGTCCCGAGTGCTGCAGGGACTTGGGGACGTGGAGGAGAGGCTGGCTGCAGTGCTCGGTAACCAGCTGCAGGAGGAGGGTGTGGGGTTTGGGGTTGGAGAAAGCTCCAGGCTGGCCCCTAGGGTGCTTACGCATCACCGTGCTGTCCGCATCCCCTCTTCATAGACAGGCGGTTACAGTGTGAGCTGTCTCTGGGGGCTGCACGGGTATCTCAAGCTTTTCAAGCCATTAGCCTCTGTTTTGAGTTCTTACTTCTTCCAATGCCTCTGGGAAGCAGCCGTGCACAGTACACGAATGAAGGAGGCTGTGTTCCTGGAAAACCGTTCACAGAATGAGGTGGCCGACAAGGTTTGTCCTGTGGCCTGTAGCTTGCTCACCTCGCCTAAAGGAAGCAACCACAGGGGAAGCCAGTGCTGCAAGTGTCGGATTGTTTCCAGATCTCTAGCAGGGCAGTTTTAAGAATTCTCTGAGCCCTCTGCATTGATGTCACTGTTCGGTCATAATAGGTTGCAAGCCACGTGGGAAATTTTAAATTTTCTAGCGGCCACCTGAAAAAAGTAAGAATATACCTGAAACTAATAAAATGTCGTATGTAGACTATATCTTAAAAAGAAACTGGTGAAATGAAATTTCATGGTATATTTTATTTAATCCAGTTATGTCCAGAATATCATTTTGTAACTTGCAGTTAACATAAGAAAAAGCATATTGAGATTTTATGTTCTTGTCTTCAAAACCTCACGTGAGGCCTTTACCATCTCGATCTGGACTAGTCCCGTTTCACGAGCCATATACGGCACTCACTGGACAGCACAGCCCCAGTCTAGACCAACAAGCCATGACGTAGGTGAAGGTTCAAGGAGGTAGTGGAGTAGCCTCTAAGGAGTCAGGGTCTTGAATCAGAGGTGGGCATGTCGGATGGCCCGGCCGGGGGACTCTGCATGGTGCCACGTGGCTGACCGGCCCCCCTGCTCCCCAGGTACATCCCCACCGCCGCAGCCTTCGGCGGGCTGTGCATCGGGGCCCTCTCCGTCCTGGCCGACTTCCTGGGCGCCATCGGGTCTGGAACCGGGATCTTGCTCGCGGTCACGATCATCTACCAGTACTTTGAAATCTTCGTGAAGGAGCAGAGCGAGGTCGGCAGCATGGGGGCCCTTCTGTTCTGAGCCCTGTCTCCCCGGACCAGGGAGAGGGGCCGTGCACGGAATTGTGGGGGAAGGGAACAGCAAGACCTCACCGTGGGGTGCTCATCACAGGGAGTGCTGCTACGGCACCGGGACTTTTGTTTAATAATGGTTTTGAATTTCATATTCTTTCATTCCACTTTGTAAAGTGCTAGAATTTTTCCAGTTTGAAATTTTGCTTTTTATTCTGGCATTGGCAGAAAGAACGGTAGAACTGAGGTTTTATTGAGCTGACTGCCAGAGGTGGGGGTGGTAAGCGACCGTCCCCAAGTGTCCATGTAACTTTTGTTGTAACCTTTGCACCTGCTCAGTGCCGTAGGCGGCTGCAGTGGTCTGAGCTGTTCCCCCACCAAGGGAATGTCCTGTTGGTTAGAAGCACAAACCCTGTGGCAGTGTCTACGTCGTGGCCACAGGGCACGAGGCTGAGAGCAAATCATGTTTTCTGGAGGACTCACTAGTGAGTCCCTTTCACAATCAGGGGTGGGAATATCTGGCTTAAAACTGTTTTTCTGGAAGACACAATTGTCTTCCTTTTTTATAAGTAGTTTTTTAGGACCAAGTTTCTTCCAAAAGAAAGGGATGGATTTTCCAGAAGACGCTCTTGGGCCGTCTGTTAATTTTTCTGCATGTGCCTGTTGGCTCTTCTCATTGACTGTTCTAGTCGGGCTTTGAGGCTGAAAAGCACAGAGTCGGCTTGGCTCCACCATGTCTGTCTGTAGTCGGTTTGTGTCCCCTGATCGAGCGGGGCCAGGAGTCACCAGCTTTTATGGCGTTGTGGCTGACCCAAGCCAGGTGGACGTTGCATAGAGGTCCCTTGGAGTGATGTGTGTCTGTCCAGTCCTTCTGGTTGTCGCCGGACGGGCCCCCCGCTCACCCCTAGGAGACGCACACAGACGTGGAAAGGCAGCAGCTTGGCTGTCGCAGCACCGCTGCCTTCTAGGCTGAGGACTTCCTATCATGTTTTTAGCACTTTTTTAATTGTGCCTGGGACCAAATGCATGTAAAGTAAGTGACTAGATGCCACCCGTCTCCTGTCGACTTCCATCAGGACCACCCAGCAGAGAGGAAGACTCGGGCCTCAGATCCATGATGAGATCCGGGTCAGAGGGCTTCGGGTTTTTTGGTGTTTGGGTTTCGTTTTGTTTTGTTTTTTTGTAAGTGGCTCCAGTGTGTTTGGAATGAAAAGACTCACAATTATGTCTAAATTAAGTTCTGTTTGCAGTAACAGAGGACCTAGATTTTAGGAATTGGAACCTTTTCTGAGGCCTTTAGGAAGGCTCCTCAGGGGACAGGCTGTGCTTGGCAGCAGGGACAGCAGAGTCGGGCACCGCAACCCTGAGGGGTTCTCACCGGAAGACGCCCCGGTTCTAAAAAGGGAGCACCTGGGGCCCTGCGGAAGGAGACGCCCCACCAGCAGCAGGCACACAGCGGCCTTCGAAGCACAGAGCCATGGTCACGACTCAGCAGAGGTGACAGGGCCGGCGCCTGTCTGAGTCGGAGTCCTAGGAGACCTCACTAGCAGCGCTAACCAGGAAACAAACCGACCGAGGGACAAAAAGCGACTTGCCTAAAGCCACCCGGCAAGCCAGCGGCAGAACCAGGATGGGCCCGGCAGGTCTGTCGACCCCCAGTCCAGGGCATACCACCATATCACACGTGGCCTTGTCAGACCCAGTCCTGAGCAGAGACTCCATGCCTCCCCGCGACGCACAGTCTGCGCGAGCCCGTGCGTGGCAAAGCTGGGAGCGCCCGCCTCGTGGGTGGGGCCCCGCGGGGCTCGTGCTCTGTGGTCCATGATCATGGTGGGTGGGGGCCGACCCCAGCTTCCAGGGGACTGTCACTGTGGACGCCGTAATGGCATAACTGAGTTAAGGTGAATAAGTGACAAATAAAGCCAACTTTTTACAAGCCACTTGGTCACGTTCTCTTGGTTTACAGTTCCCAGGAAGGCAGGTGAGAGAAGAGCTGGGTGCCCTTCGGGTGTGTGTGAGGCGTGGTTGAGTCCTGGTTTTGCACAGGGTGCCCCAGTCTCCACTAGACGGAAGTCCCTCCCCGGGCAGGCGTAGCCCCTGGAAAACATGCTTCTCCTGGGGGTGTGTCAGCTGCACGCCCAGGGTTTTGATGAAGAGAAACACGGGTGAAGTGCCGGGTTCTCCCGGAAGCGAGGGAGTGGACGGGTGTCACCCCTGTGAACGCAGCCCATCACGCTGTACCCACGCAGCGCCCTCCCGCCCTGTCCAGGCCAAGGGGTACCGTTGCCCTAGGCTGTGACGGCAGACATCGCTATACATCCAGCCACTGATCAGCCGGACCTGTAGCTAAGCCAGGAGGGTCTCCATCCTGTCCTGGACCCCAGCATCACGCAGATGGCGGGGGCCGACATGATGACTGCTCCCCTGGGATGGGCGTGTGGAAGTCTTCCCGAGGGATTCCACCTGAGGAGAATAGCGCATGTTCCCAGGGTGATGTGAGAGGAAAACTTCCCACTTGCCTGCCTGGTTTTGAAGCTGACAAGCTTCTCCTGGACGGTGCCTCACCCCGAACCCTCTGCCACCACCACCGGCCTGGTGCTGCCTCAGTGACTCCTGAGTGACCGGTGGGCAGGACCCTTTCTCCTTAGCTGGGCTCCAGCCTCAGTGTTCCAAGGACAACCTTAGACTTTGTCTTGGAAAACCGATTTCTGGGGCACCTGGGTGGCTCAGTCAGTTAAGTGTCCAACTCTCAATCCCAGCTCAGGTCTTAATCTTTGGGTCATGAGTTCAAGCCCCACATGGGGCTTCACGCTGGATGTGGAGCCTACTTTAAAAAAAAAAAAAAAAGAACTTCTGATTTCTGAGATGGGCTTGGGCCAGGGCAGGATGTCCCTCTGGGACCCCTGGAGGGACAGGTGTTGGAGCCTGACCCTGCAGAAGCCCCCTGTCAGAGCTGGGCTGAGGCTGCGCCCAAGATGGGGTGTGTGGCCAACCTGCCCTGTGCTCCCTCCAGACTGCTGGCTGCCGGAATGGGCTGAGACCCCCGATGGGAGCCAGGCAAGCAGGTAGGGTCCCCAGCTGTGACATCCAGAAACTCAAGTCAGAGAAGCTCCCGCCCCCAGAGAGGCACCGCACCCTCTCTCGCTGCCTGGGCAATTTGGCTGGGCCTGTGACCAGACCGGCCTCAACCTGGGAGCCAAACAAGCGGAGCCCATGTTGGAGCAGCCGTGTATGTGGCTCGGGGTGTCAGGCTCTGCCTCGGCTCACGTGACGCCAGGCGGGACCCTTGTGCCAGGAACTGTCCAGCAGCGCCTCCTTCTAACCGCCTGGTAACGCCTTCTCTTCTTTTCCCTGTGGGGCTGGTGCTGTGCTAGCCCCCTTACACGTGATCTCATTCGCTGCCCCCCGACCCGGTCAAGGCCTGGGAGGGAGAGAAACAGTTTGCCCCATTTGGTGCAGAAACTGAGCCCAGGGAAATAGAGTGTGATCCGAGGCCACACGGCCACTCTGTGGCAGAGCCAAGACTGAAAGCCCAAGGCGCCGTTCTTGCCCCAAGTTCCTGCTTGGCTGCTGGGCCTGCCCGCCTGTGGGTTCCTCTGCAAGGGGCATAGTTGGAACCAGGGATGGGGGGCTTCGGGAAACCTGCTGCGCTCCTGGGAGCTTCCCCCTGCTGGGAACCTGTGCAGACCCTGCCCTTGGCTGGGCCAAGAAGCCCGTGTATAGTGGGGAAGACAGGTGAGCATCCTGTCTCTGCCCCAAGAGGATAGCCATTTCCTAGGGAAGAGCACAGATTCCCGACATGAGGCCCCAGGGGTGGGCAGGTGACCCCTGTCCAAGGCTCAGCAAAAGCCCTAGTACGAACTATAATATCCACCAGTACCTGGTTTGGAGAGTCCCAGGAGTGCCCCCTGGTGGCGATGCCCACCTTGCCCCACTGCCCCAAACTTTCTGGGACTTTCCATCACCCTGCTCCAGAACCTTTGGCCGGCACACGTCCACATCGCCCACTCCTTTCCATTTGAAGCACATTATCGAGCCCCCGGGGGTAAATGGGGCAGGGGTTGATTCTATGCTCAGAAAGCTCACCCCCCCAGTGACAGGTTCTGCAACATCTGCCTAGCTTCTGGGCTCTCCCCAGTTTCCCTCAGTTTTTGCCTGACAAACTCCTGTTCATCCTTCAAAGCCCAGCTCAATGAAGCTAGAAACCTTGGAATGCCCATCGGAATGGGACTGGATAAATTACAGCCCCTCCCTCCCGTGGAACGGAGCTAGGAGAAAAGTCTATATATGGTCTTAGAGGAATCTCCAAGATGTGCCGTTGAGGGAGAAAAAAAAAAACCCTAGAAGCAGCAGTAGCATATGTCACTATTTGTATTCTAAAAGTTGGGTCAGGGGTGGAGCGTCTGGGTGGCTCCGTTGGCTAAGCGTCTGACTTCGGCTCAGGTCATGTCTCCAGGTTTGACAGTTTGAGCCCTGTAGAGTTTGAGCCTCTGCTGTCAGCTTGGATCCTCTGTTTCCCCCTCTCTGTCTCTCTGCCCCCTCCCACTTATGCTCGCTATCTCTCAAAAATAAATAATAAACTTTTTTAAAGGTTGGTGGGGGGTTAAAAAACACACTGGGCATCAGGAACAGGTCTAGCAATTTCTCATGAATCTGCACCCAGCTGCTCCACTCCCGGGTATTTATGCAAGAGACATAAAAATCTATGTCTACACAAAGACTTTTATGCAAGAATGTCTGGGGCACCTGGCTGGCCCAGTCGGTAGAGCATGCGACTCTTGATCTCTGGGTTAATTCAAGCACATTAGGTGCAGAGACTACTTAAAAATAAAACAATCAGGGGCGCCTGGGTGGCTCAGTCTGTTCAGCATCTGACCTGGATTTCAGCTCAAGTCATGATCTCACTTTCGTGAGATCAAGCCCTGTGTCAGGCTTCATGCTGGACATGAAACCTGCTTGGGACTCTCCCCCTCTCTCTCCCTCTGCAACCCCCCCCCCCATCCTGCTTTCTCACTCTCAAAAAAATACATATATTTTAAAAAATAAAAAGACTATATACATCACATGCACGTTCTGTACTGCCATTCACTATTTTGTGAGAATATATTTGCTG